AAAAAAAAAAAAAAAAAAAAAAAAAAAAAAAAAAAAAAAAAAAAAAAAGGGCAAAGGACTTGAGATGTTTCTCCAGAGAAGATATACAAATGGTCAATAAGCACATAAAAAAGACGCTCAACATCCCTCATCATTAGAAAAATGCAAATCAAAACTAGGAAACACCACTCCACACCCAACTGGATGGCTTACTGCCAAAAACCCCCAGAAAATAATAAGCCTTTGTGAGGATGTGGAGAAACTGGAACCCTTGTGCACTGTTGGTAGGATTGTATAAAATGGTACAGCCACTGTTAAAAAAAAAAAAAAAAAAGTACAGATTTCCTCAAAAAATTAAAAATAGAATTACCAGATGATCCAGCAGTTCCACTTCCGGTATGTACCCAGAACTGAAAGCAAGGATGGATGGACGGATAGATTGATTGACTGATTGATTTTTGGCTGTGTTGGGTCTTTGTTGCTGTACCGCAGGCCTTCTCTAGTTGTGATGACTGGGGGCTACTCTTCGTTGCGGTGCGTGGGCTTCTCACAGCGGTGGCTTCTCTTGTGGTGGAGCACAGGCTCTAGGCGTGCGGGCTTCAGTACTTGTGGCATGCGGGCTCAGTAGTTGTGGCTCGCAGGCTCTAGAGCACAGGCTCAGTAGTTGTGGCCCATGGGCTTAGTTGCTCCACGGCATGTGGGATCTTCCCCTACCAGGGCTCAAACCCGTGTCTCCCCCTGCACTGGCAGGTGGATTCTTAACCACTGCGCCACCAGGTAAGCCCGAAAGCGAGGATTTAAAAAGCTATTTGTGCACCCATGTTCATAGCAGCATTATGTATAGTAGCTAAGATGTGGAAGCAACTCAAGAGATCATCAAGGGGGACTTCCCTGGAGGTCCAGTGGTTAGGACTCCACACTTCCACTGCAGAGGGCACAGGTTCAATCTCTGGTCAGGGAACTAATATCCCACAAGCCACGTAGCATGGCCAAATAAAAAAGTTCATCAAGGGATTAATGGAAAAGCTTAATGAGGCACATCCATAAGATGGAATATTATTCAGTCTTATAAAGGAAGGAAATTCTGGCACCTGCTACAACATGGATGAACCTTGAGGACAGTATGCTAAGTGAAATAAAACAGTCACAAAAATACAAATACTGCATGCTTCCACTCTTATGAGGTCCCTAGAGTATTCAAAAGCATGGCGACAGAAAGGAGAATGGTGGTGGCTGGGGGGAGGGGGGAGGGGGAATTTAATGGGTGTAGAGTTTCAGTTTTATAAGATGTAGAGTTCTAGAGATGAATGGTGGTGATGGCTGCACAGCATTATGGATGTATTTAATACCACTGAAATATACACTTTAAAACAGTTAAGATAATACATTTTATATGCATTTTATCACCATAAAAAATTGGGAAAAAAGTCTATTAGTGTTAATATAAATAACATTTTAATGAAATTCTCAAATGTCCTCCTGTAGTCAATCTGTTATGATATCACACGTCACATACTTCTGGAAAATTCTACTGTACGCTCGTGAGAAAGAATGGAAGAAGCAAATAATGTCTTAAATAGTATTACCAAAACAGTTTTGATTTTGCAGACCCCCTAAAATGGTCTCAGAAAACCTCCAGGGGTCCACATCCCTACTTCAAGAACTGCTGCACTATTCATATTAAAGCTTTTTTTTTTTTTTAACTGATTAACTTGGTCTAAAGCCTCCATCTGCCCATGCCATTTGATTACTTCCTATGAACCTATTAACCTCCTAAGGAGCTAAAGAAAGGGAAAGACTGCAGCAAGGCATCCAGTGAGTCTGACCCTGAAGTACAAGGAACCCATCACCCCTTCACCCCTGACTGGGGTAGGCAAAAAATCAGAATTGGTGGGGGAGGGAGAGTTAATGAGTGTGTGTGCTTGCAAAAAGCAAAGTCAAAATTCTGATTCTATATTTGGAAAATATAAGTCTTGATGGAAACTACAGTAAATAAATCTAAAGGAAATACTGGCTGCTGGAATATGCAAACAATGACCACCTTGTGCATAACTCAATGGGGAGAAGACATCCTGTTATAGCCCTAGAGCACTACC